ATATATGGTAGTGGATATTCTTACACCGCCACCACACGGTAAACTAGTAATAAATTCTTCATAAAATAATGTGATGACAAACATTCCTTTCTATAGTTCTACGGTTAAAATTTGCAAAAAAAATATTTGTCATGAAACGGTTTGAACGTAGTGAACTATATATATTCAGTGTTCTTTTATCATTTTTCTTTTCAATTACTGGTCCTTTTTCTTTTTTATAAACTTTTTTTATTTCGAAAGGACAACAACAATAATAAGTAGTACAAGAACAAAAAATAACAACCTGTTAGGTGTGGGATTGGCATACTTGGTCCGCCACACTGCAGCGAAACTCTTTTACACCGCACTACCGAAGCGTCGTTATATTTTTCAATCTTAATTAAATATAATATAAATTAATTAAATTTCTCGACTCCACAGAGTCAGTAATTCATTCTTGGGGCAATGTATACGCATTTACAACAAGGTCCCGGAAAGTGTACAGATTCTCTCTATTACCAAGTTTAAATGTTTTATTAAGCTGAAACTGTATAAAAAGGGTTATTATAGTATAAATGAATACATGGTTGATAATAACCCCTGGGAATGAGGTGGTCGCTTCCAAGCAGTTTCTAAAATAAATTTTGTAAATAGTTCGTAATCATATATATTGTAAAATTTATTTAAAAAAAGTCCCGCTGGGTTTCTTGCTGGTTCTTCCCAGGACAGAGGGTTTTTTTTCGAACCAGTGGTAAAGGAAAAAATTACTTTCAATAAGAATTACACATGTAATGTATATTGAATAAAAATTATTCTATTCTATTCTGTTCTATTCTAATCAATTAACCAGCAAAACCTTTTGCAACCATTTGCATCCAACACCTAAGTCAGATACAAAAACTTTATAAATTATATTCGATTGTTACATTACGTATCGAATTTTATCATCAGATAAAAGTTATTATTTGTAGGATAAAATAGAACTTCAACAAATTAAAAGTTATACTGTTATGAATAGGATAGTACAACTTTTTGACTTTTTTATTTAGTTTATAATTTATTTCAAGGATAACTTTTATCAGATGACTAAATAAATAATAGTGATAACAAAAAACTTACAACAACAAAAAAATAAAAAATCATTTTAACGTAATAAAGTGTGAGGTGCTTTTTCAGATATATTTATGACTAGCTGTGCCCGCGGCGTAGCTCGCGTATACAGGTTTTACATAAACAATTTGTCGTTTAGGTAAGAGAATATTAAACGATTTATTTCATTACTGTATCAATAAGTGGTAACTAAATAAATCATTATCATCAAAGTTCTAAGTCGTTTATAATAGAGCTTCTGTGTAAACGACGTGAGAAGTAGGCTTAGCCGGGGTGTACACTAAAAGGTTACGGGGGCTACTAACGCAGGAAAAAGCAACATAGAGTTGGCCATGTGCAGAATAGTCAGTACTGAGGTACACTCCTACAACGCGTAAAGTTTGACCTTGCGCTTTATTTACGGTCATCGCATAACACACGCTCACTGTAACTGGGAACTGAACGCGCTTAAAACTGAAAGGAAAGTTACTTCTTAAGCACTACAGCTCTAGGACAACACAAAAAGCGCTAGATTTCATGAAAACAGCGCTTTAAAAAAGCCCTAGATTTCGCGCTAAATTAACTACAAACAAAGTTTGTGTTTTTTTATATAATCATAATAAAGAAAACAACATTAAGTTTTTTTTCTGGCAATATTTTTTTGATGTATCAATACTTCGCAGGACATCGACTTATAATTATGGCAATTGCTGTCAACAGTAGTTAGTACTGTACGAACAATAAAAATGTCATTAATTGTTTTAAAGTGCAATGTATTTCGCAACTTAGTTTCAGATGTCAGCATCTGATTGCGGTTGCTACACAGTTTCTTTGTGTTATAACTTCTAAGTAACTTTTAACTTAATAGCTGTGCTCTAAGCAACTGACTGAAACTGAATAAAGCAAAATAAATGCGTTGCCAAAACCATGAACAAAAACTTTAATAAAGGGGATTTCCCCGCTTATAGTCGTCGGTAAAAAAATCAAGTTGATCATCCTAAAGGGGAAGCCAGGAGATCCATAGCACAGGGTATCCTAGTTTGGACTCGTCTCCCACCATGGGAGACGAGTCCAAACTAGGATTCCCACAACTTCCTTGTGGAATAGTTTACCACCAGCGATTTTTCCGGACCGATACGACTTAGGGACCTTCAAGAAAAGAGCCTACTCCTTTTTAAAAGGCCGGCAACGCATCTGCAATTCCCCTGGTGTTGCGGTTGTTCATGGGCGGCGGTAGTCACTTACCATCAGGTGAGCCGCATGCTCGTTTGCCCCCTCTCCTATAAAAAAAAATGCTCTTTGTTTTGTGGAAAAAATATGTTTGACAAAGATAAACTGCAAGGTACTATTTGTGGGAAAAAATAATAAAGGTCATTATTATTATTATCGGTAATGTGGACTAACAGTGCTGCTATAAAAGAGTTAATAACCCGCTAGTCGCTAAAATATTGAAATGTGTGCTAAATATACCAAAAAGCGCTGGATTAAGCTAGGTGCTAAAATTTCGAAATGCGCGCTATACATTCCAAAAAAGCGCTAAATCTAGTTCCCAAAGCGCTAAAATGGCAGTACTGATTTTGCGTATATTATAAATACAATATCACGACATTTCGTTGCAAAATTTTTATTTTTGGTCGGATTCCGTTGTATGGCTTCGATGGATACAAATTTCTTCAGCAAGTCTCAATACGATTCATCGGCGAAAAATCTCAACACAGCAATTCAGAAAAGTTTGTAATTTGTACAACTCCATCTATTACGTCCTTTGTGTGAGAAAACATCCTTTTTAAATCTCTTTTTGTGTTTTAAGTATAAATATATTAATTATTATGGAACGTTTTTTTTTTACACACAAATCTTGTTATTACTATTTCTGAGATTTTATGGCGCCATTGAACAAATTCGAACCTACATTTCAAAATAATCATCATTACTTTCGATAGAATTAACCAATTTTAATAAAACAAAGATTAAATGTAACTCGAAGATACGCTTTATGATTTTCTTAACGATTTCTTTGAAAATAAAAGATGTTTACTTTAGACGTGATGCGTTCATATAATAACAGACAAATAGACAGACAGACAATTCTAAAAATTATAAAATGTTCTTATTTAATTATTTTCAGTTCCCCATAATGATTTTAGCCACCAAAATATATATACAATGTACAGAAAGAGACACAACATGTTATCATCATTTTTATTATATGTATATATTTAAAGAGAGATGGCGCTGCTAACATCAATTCTAAAAATAAAAGAGATTAATTGACGCGATTGATACATTATATAAAACGCAAGAGAACTTATAAATCAGTGCCTGCACAGTAAGCAAAAAATAAAGTTTGACTCTCGCCAAAACCAACGATTTGTTAATAGCTCTTTTAAAATTTGATTTACCACATAGAGTACTCGGCGGTAAAGAATAAATTGAGTTTGTCAACACGCAGTAGGGCAGCGAGTAATATAATAAAGATTAGCAGTAAATATGAAAACTCATCTACAGGAAAAAACCACATTGCAATTGCATTACATTTTCACAACACCACCATCTATCGAAGAAATGGGAAAACTATTGTGCTTCAGATTTAGTTAATAAGGTTAATATATTTTTGTATAATATATTTAATACGTTCTTTAATACTTTTGTTTACTGCGTTTTAGATATACATAATTGTATCATTATTTTACATAATTTAACTATGATTTATGATATGATATTAGTTTAAAATGCACTTGATGACTCAAACAAAGCCACCGTTGAGCAAATTCGTACCTATACTTCCCTACCCATACTTCAGAATATTTATCATAACTTTTGATGGAATGAACTGATTTTAATGAAATAAAGACTAAATGTAACCCGAAGATACACTTTATAATTTCCTTAACAATTCTTATGATATAAATTAGTACTTTATACGTGATACGTTAACAAACAAACAGACAGACAGACAGACAGACAGACAGACAGACAGACAGAAAATTCTAAAAATGGTAGAAATGTATTTAATTACTTATTTTTAGTACCCCTCAATCACTTTTATTACAAAAATATAAAATGTACAGACATCTGCTATTTACAGTTTTATTATATGTATAGATGTCGCTAATTTTACAAATATCCACAAAAATATTTACAACAAATGACATGTGCTTGATGTTTTACAATAAATTGAATTTTTATTTTAAACTTATTGAATATTATTTTTTTACTTTTTAGTTCGGTTATCTACAAAAGCGTGTTTTTTTATTATTATAAACTCTTATTTATTTTCTATTTTTTAGTGCGGCTAACTAAAAAAGAGTGTTTTTTTTTTTAACGAAGTTCTTTCAAAGTAAATTGAACTGGCAAAAATCGTAGTTGTTTTATGAATTATTCGCAAATTCTGAGGATCCTGGCAAGCAAAACAAACTATTTAAATTATTACATACGTCGTTTGGAAGGGGATGAAAATCATATACAAAAATTCCATTACATAGATACAAAACAACCTGTAAATAGATACATAGCAACCTAACCAAGCTAATAAAAGCGTTATAAAAATCGTTTCTAATTATCTTAAAAAAATAGCTAATCTTAAAATAATTATAATTCATTATTTTATACTAGCGAGAAACCACCAAAGATGCGTCACAAAGGAAGACAGAAATAACCATGAATGAGTAAGCACTAAGCAACTAATGCACATTTTATTAACGTTGAAATAACGACATTATGATATAACAGAAACATATCAGTTGAAGGGCAAAACGCTTGCGCAACAGTCGTGTGTCAGTTCGCCTAAACACGTTTACTTCCAAGGTCGTATTCACCGCACCGACCTATCAATGATAATAATCATTTAAAATGCTTATAAGGAAAATAGCAAACTTATCTTTATCAACATTGTGTTATACGTGAAAAATGTAGGTTATACGTGTGTGAACATGAGGTGTAAAAAGAATTTGATACTATTTACATTGTTCGTTGCGAACTTAATCGACCAACCGGCCCCAGAGGTGAGCATTGATCAAGGGACTTTGATCGGTAAAGTCAGCGTGGATGGAACGTTTTTCGAATACATCGGCATCCCGTATGCTAGTACAAACAGTAGCACGCGGTTTCAGGTATGTTTTTTTTATTATTAAACAAACGTGTCTTTTTAGTTTCCAGTGCGATCACGTTTTTATCTAGTAATAAAATAAATGTCTTTCAGTCCGAATTTCGATCACGGTGACCGTTGCAACGGAAACTAGTCATCTGCATTATCTATTCTCATTCTCTGCAGATCTGGTAGGTACAACGGATTAATGTGATTTCTTAAGCACGGGGATGAGCTTCACTAACCTCTCAGGAAGTCACTAAGTCCCAAAGTCAGCTCTGGGCTGCTACTGAGAGTTTCTTGATAAGAACATAACTGACTAAGACCGATATAAGCATACATATATGTATATTAGCGTATACATAAATGTTAGCTCTCATCATCACCATCAGAAAAGAATAGAATAATTTTAATTCAATGTTGCTTACTTTTACCACTGGTTCAGACAAAAGCCTCCGTCCTGGGAAAAACCAGATAGAAACCAAGCGGTATTTTTTTAAGAGCAAAACTTACAATGTAATATTTATACAATTGTTATGAAAACATTTATAAACAGCCTGTTGGCGATTACCTCATTCCCAGGGGTTATTATCAATCATGTAGGTACTCCTTAGTAGTACAATAACCCTTATCTGCATATTTACTAGGATTTCGTTGTAAAATTTTTGGTTTTGTGTAAGCACATTAAATTTTCCTAAATATACTGAGAACCCATGGTTAATTAATATATATGTTGTGAATGTATAGATTTCTTTGATGAGCCGTGATAGCTCAGATGGTTAGCACTCGCTGTACATTTTACAGTACGCGAGCAACCAGAATTCGATCCCCGCCGGCGCCAATGAAATTGTTAATTGCAATTTTAAGTGATGATTTACGAAGGAAAACTTCGTGAGGAAACTTGCATGTCTGACAAAGAAGAAAAAAAAATCGAAGACGTGAAGTTCGCCAACACGCATTGGGCCAGCGCGGCTGACATTTCCTCGCCCTAAAACCCTCTCAGAAATGAGGGGAGGCCTGTGCCCAGCAGTGGGGCGTATATAGGCTGTAACTTTAATTTTATATATAATTTCTTTAAATTTTTCTCTGAGAATCTCAAGATCTCCCTCTCATGGATCACAGAGATACATACACATCAAGAATTTCACAAAACACAGTACTGAGCCACCTGCATGCATTGATAATCTGCTCTGACTGATCTTTTATCAGGTCTTTACTCTATCTAGTGGGCAGCCACCCTACACTTCTATTACTGATACGATACGATACGGCTGCCTCTCGAGAGTCTTGGCAAACTATAGCAATACCCCATGAATATTAGCCGCAATTATGTAATGGGACGAGAGTTGTAGTATATTATACTAGTATCTTTATATATTAATATATAATATAATATATAATAATAATATTCCACAACTATCAAACAACGCCATCTAGTCCCAAGCTAAGCAGAGCTTGTGTTATGGGTACTAGACAACTGATAAACATACTTATATATTTCTAAATACATAAATATTATAGATAAATTACACCCAGACACAGAACAAATGATCGTGCTCATCACACAAACATTTGTCCTGGGTGGGAATCGAACCCACGACCTCCGGCATAGCAGTCAGGGTCACTAACCACTAGACCAACAGGCCTGTCAAATATTATGGGTCACAATACAAATACTTATTCTTAATGAATATGTATCATAGGCGAAACCTCTATATTTTAATGAAGATTAGTTATAATGTGAGGCTGTTAATAAATGATTCCGTTTCAAACAAGTTTATAATAAAACTATTTTTGAAGCTTATTTTTTCCATGTACAGTATGTGTATGTATTTACTAATAGCACACAAAAATACAATACCCAATTGATGTAAAAAAAATTGGTAACCCTAAGTGAGGTAAACATGTATTAGTTGACGTTCATTGCATACATTATTGTATATTTAATGTAAATTCTTTTAAGAAAATAAAGGTAATTATAAAGTCATGAATGAATTAGTATTATACAAAATATACGTAATGAACGTATGAAAATCAGCAGCTATCGGCACAATAGTTTGATTATTGTTATAAGACATTTTAGATAAGCAATTATGAATGTATGATACTGTAATTATCTACTTATTACTCTTATCATTACACTAATTGTCATATAATTTAGCGCATGTTTCAACATTTGTGATAATTAAACGCAAGGATTGAAAATGTAATGTATCACTTTATTGCAACTTAAGACTTAATTAGTCATGATTCATCTTATTGATTTTTGATAGTCTTATATATTATTTATCATTTACTTACAAATATTGTAATTATGGAGATGGCTATGCTCGGAGTTTCTCTGCGTGATAAACTTCGAAATGAGAATATCCGCAGTAGAACCAGAGTGACCGACATAGCCCAAGGGATTAGTAAGCTGAAGTGGCAATGGGTCGGCCATATAGCTCGAAGAACCAAAAACCGATGAGGAAAAAAGGTTCTCGAGTGGCAGCCTCGTACCGTCAGGCGAAGTGTAGGGCAGTTTTAACAGTGGTAGAGCCACGCGGCAGCTTTTGCTGTCGCAAGGATGGGCCGGCTCGAACCGGGGTGGTACCACGACCTCACAGAAAACCAGCGTGAAGTAGAGGTTTACCTCTGCGTTTCGCTTGGTGAGTGCAGGTGGCCGGAGGCCCTTTTTACTGGAAATGAGGCATTCCATCTTAGTCCTCACGGGTGATAACGCATTTACATTTTGTTTTCTAATAGAGAATAGATTTAGATGTCTATGGGCCGCAGCAACCACTTACCATCAGGTGGACTGTGTGCTCGTTTATCGCCCTTATCCTATAAATAAAATAAAAATAAAAAAATTAAAAGGGTGTCCCCCTACGAGATGGAATGACGACCTGGTAAGATATGCAGGAAGTCGATGGATGCAGGTGGCTCAGGACCGTGCTTTGTGGCATTCCTTGGGGGAGGCCTGTGTTCAGCAGTGGACTTGTAAAGACCTGTAATGATGATAGTGATGATGATGATTCTAAAGTTGTCGCTCAGCAGCTTAGCGCTAGCTGTTAATTTAACACTACGCGAGAATCTCAGATTCGATCCCTGCCGGCGCCAATTGCAATTTTTAGCGCATATTTACCAAGTGTTCAACAGTGAAGGAAACATGGTGAGGAAACCGGCATGTCTGAGAAAAAAAAGTATTTCGAATAGAAATAAAGTTCACCAACATGCATTGGGATAGCGCGGTGGATGTCATTTTGCTGTAAAACTCTCTCATTAATGAAAGTAGGCCAATGGCAAAGATTTTTTTTTTATAGGATACGATGACAAACGAGCACACAGTCCACCTGGTGGTAAGTGGTTACTGTGGCCCATAGTCGCAAACGAGGACAGATGTCATCTACAAGATGTAGATGACATCTGTCCTCGTTTGCGAATCAAAATGCAGGTGCGTTGCCACCCGTGAGGACTAAGTTGTAATGCCTCTTTTCCAGTAAAGAGGGTCTCCGGTTCCCTATACTCATCATAGGAAACACAGCAGTGTTAAGCTGCTATTTTACGCTGGTATTCTGTGAGAGCGGGGTCCTTCCCCAGGCGAGCCGACCTATTCGTGCTACAACTATACTACTAATAGCTGCAACATGGCTCTATCATGTATAAAAAGTTTACTTTTAGTTTCCTTTTTTATAAATATTACCAAATTTTTTCAAAAATCTATTATTATTATGTTTTCTAGAACATAATCTATCATAACAGTTGCAGAATCAGAATCAGAATTTTCATTTGCGTAAGAACATGGTATATAAAGGTGACACATGTTAAAAAGGTGCACATGTCTCGCTATTACAAATAGCATGCAAAATTTATATTATTATCTTTCAATTTATAATTGTATCACATAAAAATATTATCACAACGTTTAAGTCTCATTACAATAAATTACATTGAATTAAAGATAAATTAAAGTATTTCATATAAAATTAAAGTCTTTAATGACATATATTTTTCTGTCAACTTAAATCATTTAGATTTAAATTGATAAACATTTAAATTTTTGGTGTCATTAGGAATTATATTATATATCGTTAAACACATTTTTAGGCAACTTTTATGGTATTTCGTATATCTTGGGATAACGTCTAACACAAATTTATTAGGATTTCTTCAGCTTATTTCAAAAATATAAAGTGGCGGCAGCGGAAGTTTGTTTAGATTTGCAAAAGCTGTTCTACAGGATATACCAGACGGTATTCCAGACCTATCACTCTGCTCGAATACGCTTTTTTGAACTATAAACGCCTTTTGTATATTTGTGTTAGTTGATTTTTTATATTTCAGCTTTTTGTTTTGAGATATAAATATTTATCAGTTTTGAGATGTTTTTAATACTATCAAATGCTGTCGACATTGCAACATACTATGTTACAGTTCAACAAGTGTAAGCGATTCTAGGAGCACGGGTTGACTTGCTTGAAGCTGATGTGATAATATTTAGGGATAAGTTTGGATGAAGTGATACAAAAATTTATTAATTATTATATAATTATATATTAATTAGGAAATCATAAAACTTCTTCATCTTCATCGGTTTGTAAGAGCCCACTGCTGAATATGGACCTCTCCCATAGTATTTACTAACATTGATTTTTTTTAACTCTCACTTAGAAGATGGATTGATAATCGCAGCACTTTTGACGCTGATGCCGGTCGCCGGTCTGGGTATTTTACGTCTGATGTAAACATGATGGGTACACCGATATGTATCAACAATAAGTTATTGAGAATAACTCAAAAACCATTGGTCTGACCTTAATCAAATTCATATGAGACCACACGAGAAGTACCAGCTTTCAAATAAAAAAAGAATCACCGAAATCGGTTCACCCAGTAAAAAGTTACACATAAAAAAACATACATTCGAATTGAGTACCGTCTCCTTTTTGGAAGTCGGCAGAAAAATGCTAACGCTCAAAACCTCAGACCCGTTAAATATAGTTAGTACTTTGTAAAATATTTTCCGATGCTTGGATACCAAATCAGGTCCCTCGAATCAGTAGTCGCATAGTGTGAAAAGTAAGACGATTGCAATTTTTATGAATAACCAAGTTATTTTTAGAGAATAAAATAAAGTTTAACCTCCCTCAAAATATTTTTTTTTTATTTTCAGGCACCAGGACCAGCACCATCATGGAAAGGCGTTTTAAATGCTGTCGATGAAATACATTTTTGCCCACAATCTACCCTCATCGGTGTTGTTGGTTCTGAGGATTGCTTGAAGATTAATGTTTACGTTCCTGCAATGGCTAAGCGACCATTACCGGTCATGGTGTTCATTCATGGTGGAGCATTTATTTTGGGCGGTGGCGGCAAGTTCCTATATGGTCCAGATTTTATAGTAAAAAAAGAAGTTATACTAGTTACATTCAACTACAGAATAGGAGCTCTTGGTTTTTTATGTTTACGAATAAAAGAAGCACCTGGTAACGCTGGCTTGAAAGATCAAATAGCTGCTCTTCGATGGGTAAAAAAAAATATTGCAGCTTTTGGCGGAGATCCTGACAATATAACACTTTTCGGAGAGAGCGCAGGGGCTACGTCAGCTTCGTTATTATTAGCCAGTGATGTCACCAAAGGACTTTTTAATAGAGTAATTATTCAAAGCGGCTCTTCCCTTTCCAATTGGGCTATAAATAGAAATCCATTGTGGGTCGCAAGTCTTCTAGCGAAATCCTTAGGTCATAATACCGAGGATCCCTTAGAAATATATAAATTATTTTCTCAAATGTCCGTGAGTGAATTAGTTTTAGCCAAAGCTCGAAAGCCACTCACCAAATACTTTGATACGCAACTCTTACATTTACCATGCGTTGAAAAGACATTTCCTGGAGAAGAATACGTCATTAATGATTTACCTTACTATTTATTGGAAAAAAAGTCTGAGAGTGTTCCTGTAATTTTTGGTTCAAACAGTAAAGAAGGATTCTTTTTAATATCTGGAGATACAGATGAATCGCTTGAAGAGAGAAACGGCCGATATTTATTTGCGTCCGATTTACATTTCGAATCAGAGGAAGAAGCGGCAGTTGAAGCAGAAAAAATTCAAAAATTCTACTTTGGTGAGGAAAAGATCAGCATGAAGCAGTTAATGAATCTATCAGTACTGTACACGCAGTTGTATTTTGAAATTCCTGCTCTGTTAGAGACAGATGTTTTAAGGAAGAATACTAACGCTACAATATATAATTATTACTTTGACTATTCTGGCAACAGAAATTTCATGAAGAAGCGTACTGGTTTTACTAATGAGAGCGGGGCCTGTCATGGAGATGATTTGTTCTATTTATTTAATACGGTGTTACTACCGTTCAGGGTTGATAACAAAGATAAAAAATTCATAGACACAATTACGACGCTTTGGACGAATTTTGCAAAATACGGGTATGTTGTTATTGTTGATCAATACTTGTAATTGGTATTTAGCGATTTGATTAATTTAAGGGTATATAAATTCTAATGGAACAATATATATGACACTAATTTTCGTTTTTTAGTATTCTATTTTATATTTGGTTTTTAGATTATAATAATAGATAATTTATTTAATAAATTTGTTTCTATGAGAAATATTTCGTTTTGACGAACAGTTAAGATTGTTAATATATTACATCTTTGATGTTACAGAGACCCAACACCAAAGAAAACTGATCTTGACTTTAAATGGACCCCAAGCAGTAATACGCAAATAAATGTACTACATATAAATGAAGAATTTAAAATGGGAGCAATGCCGAATCCACAAGCCTATCATCTATGGAAGTCTATTTATTATAAATATCGAAAAAGAGAAATAGAATGAACGGATATGACAGAAAAGGCCTCATTACGCAGATTTGCCACCCATAGACTAAAACTATTTTTACGGATTTTATCGCGTTTTATTAACTTATTTTATATTCCCGACGTTTCGGTCGCTTTCCAGCAACCGTAGGCACGGGGGACTGAGGTGATTGACGTCCCGCTGTCAGAGTTAAACCGGAGTACCTTCAGCTTTTTTAATTAATAATTTTGGATTTGGTTTTATAAGGATGATACGTGAGGCTATTGAAATTAAAAAACATCCTAATTTCAATAGAGAGGGAGGCTGGGTACTATCACCTGCTTGGCATCCTGTAATTCATAAAATTAAAAATAAACCTAAGCATACCACTGCAAGACTTCAAGACACAGTTAGTTCATTATGCGTAGATCGGACCAAAATTATTAATTAAAAAAGCTGAAGGTACTCCGGTTTAACTCTGACATCGGGACGTCAATCACCTCAGTTCCCCTTGCCTACGGTTGCTGGAAAGCAACCGAAACGTCGGGAATATAAAATAAGTTAATTAAACGCGATAAAATCCGTAAAAATAGTTTTATTCAATGTGTAGTGTTCGCGTAAATATAAGAAATTATTACCCATAGACTAGTTTATTTATTATACTCTAGGTCGTCTAGGTGAACCTATCTCACCCTAGAAAAATAATAACTTTTTGACACAATGTGTCAAAACATTATTATTAAACATTTAACATAATCGCTTTACAGCAACGATTTTAATCCTAAATTTTAAATTAATAATTCTTATTGTGAAGCTATTGGAACGATGCTTTTTTATTAAATTACTGTCCACAATTGTTACTTAATACTTCAAGGGTTTCAAGTAAAATTCTATCCCTACGGGTGGATAAAGTTTTAATGCTACTATTTAGATGATATTGAGATCGTGATATTAATAACAAGTAAAAGCCAACTTCAAACAACTAAAAATATTAAAGTATTTCATATCCTTATTTAGGCTTTAATTTTTCTATTGTATTATATTTTCCCCTTTTATTTCCTTTTTTATTTGGGTATCTTGAAGTAATTGCTCTGTATCAAGAAGAGTCTCCATTATTTCCCTAAATATTTGTTATATTTTTTCTTATGGTAATATTTCTACAGTAGAGATTATTTATTTATTTTATCGTATATTGAATTCACTTTTTTGCTATTTTATAAGACTAGTTATATAAATTAATCTTTATTAAAAATGGAAAGGAACAGACCCGTAAGTAGTACTGAAAAGTTAATAAAATATTTTTTATTAGAAGAGGGGACAAACAAGCAGCGGTTTACCTGATGACAAATATAGACCGCCGCCTATAAACAACTGCATTACCAGGGTAAATGTAGGTGCGTTGGTGGCCCTTTAAAAAGAAGTAAGCTTGTTTCTTGAAGTTCATTTTCTTTTTTTACTTGTCGTGAAAATCGCCGTCGTAAAGGATGCCACAAAGGAGTCGTTCGAGAAAGATTACTCCTAGTAAATCGTGCAGTGGTGGACCGCCAAGCGTCCAGATGGTGAAGATGGTATCGTGAGTTTTGTATGTGTATTGGTGGAATTCGGTACCTGAAACGATCTAAACAATTCCTTTGAGCACTCGCCGTGGTAAATGCAATAAAAACACAAAGGGATGCAACATGCCTTCACATTATCTTCGGTAAACTAGAGGATCACCAGCTGAGTAACTCTAACGGAAACCATCCAACCATTCCGTCGTGGTCACTAATAAGCTGGTGTCCTTTTCAAGGTACCCCTTGTGATGGTAATTTATAATGGATTCCATTATTTTGGAGCTCAAGGAGGAGATGGCGATAGGCCTGTATATGGTGGGTCTGATTGGTCGCCTTTTTCAGGGATCGGGTGAACTAAAGCTGCTTTCCATGAGTTTGGGACTACAACTAGGGAGTAAAGTGCCGAAAAGATGCATTTGAACCTGTGCCAAATTTAGAACTCACGTCTTCAGTGTTAAAGGAGAGACTTTATCAGGCCCACTCGATTTGTTGACGTATAGGGAGAGGAGAGCTTTCCGCACCGAGTACTCTGTAAACCGTACATCCGGCTTGGAGCACTAATACGGCGGAAAGGTCAACGGTGTGTCTCTGCCATCATCAAGAGCCTAAAAGATCAACTTTCTTTTTTGCGACATGAGCCAGTGATTCATTCTTTATGTATACATATAGAAGAGATAAAAAAGAAATGGCTGACACAATTTTCCTTGGATAGCCTCTTTGAGAGACCAGAATAGATGGGCTCCCGAAAGGAGGCGAACTAGTTTCTTGCGAAATACTTATTTTTAAGAGCGCTGGTGGTTGCATACCGGGTGTTCATGCATAGAACGTGATGCAATTTTACAGGAGTGACCAAACTATGAATGAGACTTCCTATGGCTCCGCAGATGATGGAATTAAAAGTTCCATTGACAAAAGTACTATGTCAGCCACATAATCAGCAGCAACGTTAGCATTATCCGGCGAGAAATGGACCCGCCCCCAAGAGTAGGATGCAAAAAAAGACCGCATGCTGTCTCAATTGACCGATTTATAGTGTTATACATGGCAGCAGCCTGCAGAACGCAAGCGCGATGGGATTGTGAGTGAAATTACACTTCGGATCAAACAGTGGTCCGTGTAGCACGGAATCTGTAGCCATTTGTACGTGAGCGATGAGTCAGTTGGTTTGTATCGACATTGGATGTTAACGTTGAGTGGACCCCCCCCCCTACCAGAATATGCGGGGCAGCTTGAAAACTCACTCTTAGTAAGAGCAGGGTAACAGGCATGGATGATAAGTGAGGGACTCTCCAGTATTTTTTTGAAAAATTAAATGAACAATTATTGTGATATTTTTACTTAAATATCCAAGAATTTAGGCATTTTAGCTGCTCTTAGGGCCTTAAATAGTCATAACTCTATCTTTCCTTGACATCGTTCTTTTAAAGTTACTAAGGCTTTTATTTCACTCACTTCGTTACTCCTTCCTGCTCTAGTGTATGTATTTCTATATTTCTGTAAATACAAAGAATTTATTTATTATATTATTATGTGTATGTTTATCAAGTATACAATTATATATATTTCGTTTATATTTTCTAACAACTTGGTGCTGGTACCCAGGAGGGTCCAGCACCCTTGTTGCTGGTACCCTCCTAGGCATGCATAGGCTGCCGTGTGGCTCAATATTTATGGTACCATAAAATATACGTCATCACGGTTGCAAATAATCCTATTCTCAAATATCTTTAATGGCTTTGTCATTAAAAAGTTATCTAAACTCGCGAACTGATCTGTAAGAGTAGATTAAAACTTTATGCATTAATTGAATAAATTAATGTAGAGTGATGAAAGTAAAGTTGTCGAGAAAGCAATATCGAAATGAATTAAAATTTTGAGATTCTTTATGATTATTAGTCTTTTTGTTACAAATGACGTATACTATTAAAAATCTTATAAGATTAGAAATATTGTTTATGGATTTTTCCATGTGTTATGTTTACTTTAAACTAATTGAAAACGACATTCTTCGTTATCTGCAAAATACCCTAAATAGAATACATAAAATATAAAACGCATGATGTGTACACACACTCAAGAGCATAACGACTGACAGATATGGTAAATCCACTCTACAACGGGAAAGACCTATGACCATGACAACAAATTACAAGAGAGAAAAAAGTCGTAAAATAATATAAAAACAGCCAGGTGTATCTTTTTACTGTCCTCGAGTGATTTCTCTATATAATGACAAATAATATAATATAGGTAAATCAGAACAATTAGAAAATTCACTAGTGCCAAATTTCAAAGCTTTAAAACTAGCTCCTCGCCCCTAAGTAATCACATAAAATCGTTGTTCTAGTGGTCGTAAGCACGACTGCTGGTCATGTGATCCTGAGTTTAAATCCTTGATCAAAGACAAAAAGCATCCCGGAGTTACGAAGTTGTTGGCGTTTCACCTCCGTGTCTCGGACAGTACGTATAGCTGATTATGGAAGGGACACATGGTCCTGCGCCTGATCTCTCTTTGGACGTGGACTATGAGAGTGAGAGAATAATGACGTGGACTATGAAAATATAGCGCAGATGGCTAAGACTGACCACCGGGGCCTTAATTTAGTCTGGAGGATATTATTCAATACTAGTGCCAGCATTTTATATTTATAGTCAATAAAACAATCCCATAAACATAACAGCAAAAGGAATCAATCGTCAGACGTTTGCGGCATAACCTTCACTACTTTTGAAAAACTTTTTTTAATAAATCACATCTTAAAACTACAGAGTATACGTAAAGTTACTATTCGACTTCGAAAAGAGGATATAATATGGACCAGTAAGCTAAAGTTCCTATAGCTTAAAGAAACGACAACCGGTGAGGAAGAATAGTTCTCGAGTAATGTCTTTTGCCTTATCTTTCTTTATCCATATCACTCCACACCTAGTTACATTTATCTGCTGCGAAATAGCAGTGCTTGCAGTACTTCCAATCTGAAGAATATAGAGAGTCATTATAATTACAGGCTGTGTAATTATAATGGCTAACTTCTCTATGTATCTATAAAGTCCTCGGAGGTGATAACGCAACGTTGCTTTCTTTGTTTGAAGTTCGTTTCAGGTGTCTATGGCCTGCAGTAGTCATATAATATCAATTCGGCTGTTATATCAATGGTTACTTCAGTAACATAGAAAATATTATTAAACGCGTATCCATGTATGTGTTTATGATCCACTTACTATAAGGTTGACTGTGTGTTCGTTTGTCACAAGTTAGGAAATGACGACAATATCTTAATACAGATATTAAAACAATATAACGATACGAATGCGAATAATATATTATTATTCGCATTCGGGGAGCCCTGGGAGATCGATATATCGATCTCCCAGGGCTCCCCGATCAGCTTGATTTTCGACTACACGCATACAGTTACTAAACCGCCTAACATAACCGTTTTTTTCATTATTCCGTCTTTATTCTTGGACACCTCTTCTGAAACG